TCCCAGCTAAAAAAAAATCATATAGTGATAGAGGCAAATCTCATGCCTAAAAAGGGAACGCGCGCATGTGACTCCACAATGAACACGCCTATCCTTATCTAATCAACAATGGATCAAGCTAAAACATTCAAATAAATTATTCGATAATTTTGCAAGAAAGACCATTAATTACTAATCCAACAATTAATTAATTAATTAATTAATTTCCTATGTTGCAATTTTTAAAGCTTGACATGTATTGTAAATGATACTGATGATGTTGATATCATTAATTCAATTGAAGTAGCCCGTTATTTCGTGATTCGTATGAACCTTCTCTCAAATTCAACAAAATGTTGGTTCTTTGAGAAGATAAAAGAAGACCTTCATGAAAGTACACGTGTACGTAAGCCAGTAGACAAATAAGTATTCTTTTTGAATCATACCCAAAGGTTTCTCACATGCACTATGAAATTATCAGCATGCGATAGCCACCAGAATCTTGTCATTTTCTATGTAAAGTTTAATAAAGATAAAGTTTAATTACATCATTTCTCCTAAAAAAAAACAAAAAATTTTAGATTTTTCTCAACTGTGCGGTACTGTCACTTTAATAAGAAATATCATAAATATGATGGTAACTTTATTTTTAAGTTCTCATTAGGTGAAGAAGTTGATTCTTGCCCAACTACATTTTTGTGCACACGCATACATAGAAACTTTATTTTTAACAACGATTTCGAGTAAAAGTAATTTGGCTACATTATGAACGAACAGTTCCAAGTGAGAATATATTAAGAACTTTATTTTCCTCCGATGTACTTCTAATCCACATCTTAAGATCTTATATCGAATTCCTATTGGTTATCACGAAGTAATGGAGAATATGAGTTTAATTCATTAATTTATTCTGGTAAAACTCATAGTGGTTGTTTTTGGTGTTTAGATGTATGATGTTGTTAATTTCCATAAATGAATGGTATTGTTACCATAATGATATTTTCTAGAAAAGACAATTATTATTCTGAACTCTTTCTCTCTCATAGTCAGTCTGAAGACAATCATTATTATGTTAAAAATAAAATGGGTAATGAGAATGAGAGAATCGAAGAAATGTTATAAAAGCTCGTGGTTTCGGTCAATTACAATCCAAGAAATTTTCAAAAAATCAAACGAAGATTTTTTCTTTTAAACGTCTCAAATGACTAAAATGACTTCCCAGAAATATTCGTTTGTCGTCTTTTTGATCTTCGCGCTTTTGTTCGTTGCCACTTTTGGATTCGCTAAAAATGGTGAATAATATTATTCTATAATAATAAACTGTGGTGAAATTTTTATCAATACTAACTATAATTTTACATAACAATCATCTAGATAAAACGAATCTTATAAAACGTGGTGGTGATGAGTCGCCGTGCAAGTGTGATGGCAAAGGTGGATAATATTTTTATTATTCTATAATATACTGTTGTTGAAATTTTTATCAATAACTAACATTCTACATAAACAATCATCCAGATAAAAGGGGTCTTATAAAACGTGGTGGTCAAGAGGATGATTGTTGTAAGCCCCCTCCGCCGCCCTGTTGCACTGTCACCGTTTGCAAGACTAAAGTGGTCACTGTTGATGATTGCTGCGTGACAGTCTGCAAAACTAAATCTATCCCATGCTTTGTAACATCGAAAGTTACTGTGGTTACTACGGACACTATTAAAACAACTACTACAACTACAACCACGACGACTGCTACCGACATTAAAATTAGCACAAAAACTACTTGTTGCACCTCCTCAAGTAAATTTTCAACATTTATGTTTGTTTACCTTTTTTATTTCTAAAATTTTTTTCAATTAATTTGGTTTTCTTGTTTAGAAAAAAAGACTTGCTGCGAAACAAAACCGACAGGTAAGTAAAGATTCTTTAGCTTTTTTCTATTTTATTTCTAAAGTTTTTGATTGATTTTTTGCCTATTTTTTTTTCAATAAAGGTGGTCATGAAGATGGTCATCCTCCTAAAGATGATAAACCTGCTGGAGATCCACCTGCTGATCCCCCTGCTACCCCTGCTCCAACTACTCCCCCTGCTCCAACAAAAACTTAAGCGTGAATTTGTGAACATAAATTTATTAAATTTCTTGGTCGATAATGATAATTTTTGATGTATTAAATTTACATAGATTGTACTTCTGTATGTAGCTAGTAAATATTATCAATTATCAATTAAATCGAATTTTGAATATAAAGAATAATTAATAATTTGCGATTGCGTGTTGCATGTTGCATGTTGCATGTTACTGATTAAACGTGTGTCCAAGTAATAAAATCCAAATAACTATAATTTTCTATTTTTCATCATTTTGGCGAAGTGAAAGATTTTGATGTTACTTAAGAGGTAATTTAAAAATTCACTCATTTTAACCCAAGCAAAGCCTGCCTGTCTCATGTTACAAATTCAATCTTATAAATTCGGATTTCAGGTTTTCATTTTCATTGATTATTATTGGTTTACTGATGCACTTCGATTACAATAGTCTTTTACTGCCGAATTCACTGAATTGTGGCTGTACAATAACATCGTCCAAATCATTAGATTCGTCAATGATTCGGTATAACAATTCAGGGGAACTCGGCTTTTTTTTAATTTCATCATTTTGAACTGGTGAATATTTGATTAATTTCCAGTTAGTTTAAAGGCATACATTGGGTAGAAAATCTTTGCCGGATTCCCGAAACCGGAAATTAATTTTTGACCGAAGGCAAATTTTGACATTACCAGATTTTAAAAACACGCGAAAACTTGGAATTCTATCAATTCTACGTCAAGTTCAAAAGTTTTTTAAATTTGAACTTTAAATTTATCTTTACAAGATAATTCTTGCTTGATCGACGCATGCACGCACCGTCGATCTAATCTCAAAAATACATAAAAAATTCAGATGTGAATAAATAAACTACAAAACTAGCATGCATTTCGTTCCAAATATTTATTCCGTTTCAAAATTCCGTTACGAGATTCTCAAACACACACACACCAATCTAACAAGCGGAGAAGAGCGATCCATATAAATGTCACATATTCAACTTCCCCTTTGAAGTTTCTGTTTAACGTAAATATTAAGTTTTGACGGGATGACAGTGATCATAAATGCAACTTTATTTGTGCATATATTTTACGCAGTATTCACACACACATGGCACCGTATGCCACCAAGTCATGGGGATGTGAGAAAGATATACAAAGTTAGTTGGGTTGTCAAGTGAGGTTATTTTCCGTAATCTTTTTTTTACGGCTGGAAATTTATCGTTATCAATCGACCGATAATTCTCACCTTTAATCTTTTTCTCGTTGATCTTTCGTATATTTCTTACGAAATTCCAGACTGTTCTGAAAGAATTAAAATATCTTGGTGGGTTTATTATCATCAGAGAATCTCCACCATGTCCGTTCTTATTTTGTAGTAATAAACAATGACAAATTGTTACTGATTATCACCCATTAAAGATTTCATTAATGCTGCCACACACACAAAATATAAACATGTACACATGTAGATATAAGTGATAAATGATCTGTTTAGATCCCCCCCCTTTTTTTTTCCTGACAGAAACCCTCCCCTTTTTCTTTATTTATTTATTTATCTAGAGTATTTTATTCGGCGGCGATTGTCAAGGCCACACAATATCAGTATCATCATCGTCAACACAAATAAAATCTTTTTTTTTCTTGGTATCCCAAAAAGTAAATAAATGCTAAAAATAACAAACCGAACATTTTCTTTGTACCGTGTACTTAGTATCACTACGTTACGTTTGTTACGTCTTAACGACTGACTATCGCGATTATGAAGTTCGAAACAACGAAAAAAGATATCAAAATTAAAATTATGAAAATTTGGGATCTATTTTTAACTGTAAATAGTTATGTAAACTCTATAGTGATGCACGTATGTGAGACTTGGTGCACATATTGTCTACATTTTATGCGTGTCATATTGTTTGCTGGGTTGTTTTTTAAACAATTGAGCCAAAAAAGATGCGAATGTATTCCCTTTATTCTTATTTTAAAGTTTCGTATTCTAACCGTTTTATTCGTCAAATCACTCTTTCTCTATACGCTTGCCACCCCAACTAATATATGCGATGAATGATCTTCACGCATCATTATTTCTTCGCTTTTAACTTCTCTCGTCTTTCTTTATTGTCTGGGATGTCTGTGTTTACCGAACCAAGAAAAATACTGGTTTCTGAGAGATAGAAAGTCAAAACACATTGACTTCCAAAACAGAATAAAACACTATATGAACAATAAAAACTTTAAGCGAAAAGTTGGACCACCATGATCCTGACAGTAAAAACTAGTCTTTAATAATTCGTTGATTCATGCAATGTCGTATTTTTATCTTTTACAGCCATGATAGAGCGATGTTTCTTTTGAATGATGCATCCACAGCTGCAAAGAACCCGAAAGTTGGGCTAGACGCAGGTGAGACATTTAAAAATTTCAATAGTACTACGAGTGAGTGAACTATTGGTAAAACGAAATAATGATAATGCATATGCGTTCAGATTAAGATTGTTGATTTGTCCTTTGTGCATACGGTATTATGCAGATATGCAAAAGAATGGCGCTGATGTCGGAAAAAATTTGAAATGGGAAAAACTTTGATGATCGGTTCGATAAATCGATTTTTGATGCCAGAATGTGGCATCTCCACCGATGATGACGAAAGGAATAGATTCGTCATTTTTCTTCTTTGCAAAAAACCATTCTACGTTAAATGACTCATCTTTCAATGAACGAAAAAAGAAAAATCATTCTCTCATTCATAGATACGACTTCTTACAATATGATTAAAAATGAATTGAACACCTCACCCTCAATTCGTATCACCTTTACCTACACAAAACACACACACGCACAAAAGACATACGGCACAGGCAAAAAGACGGTAAATCCAACTATAGGAGAAAAACAAAAACTTTGTTTTGATTTATTCCGGGCCTTTTTTTACTACTCTTAATTACCCTCTTAACCGGCAGCGTATTAAATAACAATTGTTTCGGTCCTGTGCAGTTTTTTTTTTTTGCTTCTTTGAAAGACGCAAAAGAGATCATCAGCAGCACTTGAGTGATTATTATCATCAACTAATGTTTAATAAGAAGTTGGTAATCGTAAAAGTTTGATTTCTGTTTTCTTCACGATTGAACGCAAAAAACTTCATGTGACAAAATTGCTTAGCAAAAATCATTAACCGAATTCGCTTACGTATTGTTTGAATAAGCGCATTTATGAAAGCTGTAGGCGTAAACGGAAATATTATTATTTTCTGAAAAATAAAAGATCATGAGTTCAAGCGATCTTCCTAAAGCATACGCAGAAAGAGTAAATAAAAATCATTTTCGTGTGGAAGATGCAAGCCTGGACCTCATAATTCTATTATATTATTATTAATTTGAGCTATGCACTCTTCCCCATACACACACACAATAAACTATTTAATTAATACATTTTGTATCCCTGTACCCCCTATGTATCTATGTGTCATCATCGCGATTTGAATTAAATACATTTTATTATTCTTTTCTCATATATTGTACTATTTTGCTCTTCTTACACCATTTCTTGTGTAAGAAATTTATTTTTTTTTTTGGTTATTTAAATAATATGAATATTTTTTCTGATTAACAATAACCTAAAATATTTTGATAGCATATACGCACATAATAAGAGTTTCAACGAGGTTGGGTGTTTCAGTTGTGTGACACCAGACAGATAGATGGAGCAGAAGTCGAATTTTTCTGATGAAATCTCTTTATTTCAACATTCGTGATTGCGGGTTTGTCTTTTAGTTCCTTTTAGCGTGGGTAAAAAAAAAAAAGTTTTGCCAAAAAAAATTCCAATTGGTCATTTATCATTTTCCAAAATTGGCTAGATTCATTCGGCGACGGGGGACCAAAAATGCCACAGAATTATCATCGTCATCGACACCGTTCTTTAGGGCGAAATTAGCTCAGATCAGAAGTTACGGAATTTTCTTTCCTTCTGTCTTTGTTCTGGTGGTCTAATTATGTTAGCTTTTTTAGCTTTCTCTGTCAATGATGAGTATTATAACGATTATGATGACACAATTATCTTTGGTAATACAAACGTATATAAGCATAAAATTCCATAAATTCACAACCCCTTGGAGTTTATGCAATGTATATCCCGAAGCGTCTTACGTCATTTTAAATGATTTTCTGCCACATGTTTTACGAAGAGGTAAGGTTTGAAAGGGTTAAAATGAAAGAAAATGTGTTAAATGAGTTCTTTGAGACGTATATTTTAAGTTTTGTTGAAAAAAAAAAAAACTTGATATTTTGACAGTGGGAATCGAAAATCAATACTCTCTCATGTTTAGTCATTCATTTTTCATTTAAGGATGAAAAATAGTTTAAATTTTTACATAAAAATAAAATCGGAGTTTCAAAATCAATGATCATTGTTCTCATATAGAAAGGTTGTTTAATCATCAATGGGGGGAAATTCATACGGACACACGTAGCATCTTAGCAATTATAGGAATTAGATTTAATTTCCTTTTGTAAGTGTACCCGAATCCGGGTGTGGTTTTAAACACCTAATCTATACCTAAATGCGTTCAGCCTCTTTATTTAGTCTTTCACGATAAATCAGTTTCCTAAGGTGTTGTTTGGTTTCCTTCGTTTTTTTCATCTTATTACCCCTAATTGATGAAATATAAAAAAATTTTCAAAGTCTGGCTGTGTTAATCATCATCATGTTACCGATGCATCATGTACATCACGTATATTTTTATTCATTAATTAACTTCCTTTTGAGTAACCGGGTAACATAATAAAGTTTCGATATATATATATTTATCGCGTTCTTTTCTTCTTATTGCATTAAACCTTGCATAATTGAGAAGTATACTTTCTTCAAAGTCTGTTCAATATATATTTTTACTTGACGCTGTCTGTCGCGATATTTAGTGTGCGATCAAATAAAAAACGCATTTATTCATTGCTGTTCAATTTATGCTATTAACTGTGTACAAACTAACAAAAGCACATTTTTTTTTATCTCCTTTTTTTTTCTCTTTGTTTGACCCCTCTTTCCTTTTTCATTCAAGGGTCCATTATTATTTTTTTATTAACTATTCTATTATATTTTTTTTCTATTGGTCTACGATAGTCAGAAAGACAAACCCATTTTGCCCTTCACTGTTGCTGTGATGATGATACACTTTCACAAAAAAACATCAATATCCTCACCGTTTGACTAATCCATATACGCTGGATTATTGTGAATGTGTAAATCTACTTTAAATTTTTTTTTGAAAGATAATGACGACAAATAAGGTAGTAACAAAAGACAATAACAACAACTTATTTATCTCATAGCATGAACTGAATTTAATTTTGCATTTTGCATTCTGCGATATTCGTGGATGGATTATTTTTATTCCGGAGAGGAGAACACTAAAAAACGACGACTTCACCCATCGTAATAATAATTCAATTTTAATCAAATGGATAACGGTAAACAAGCAACCAGGCAAAGCATCTGCAGCAAAGGCAAGCGACATCATGTTTAAGTGTAACACCTTCGACACACGCAATTTCCGCTTTTAGAATGTGTGTATGTGTAGAGATGGTTGTTGAAGTAACACACTCTCTTATGATTCTTTCTATTTTTTATTCCTATTCTCTTCCCTTTGTATAAGTATAAAAAAAAATAGAAAAAACTTATTTTATAATTATTTATTGATATTATCATGTAACATCATCGAATGCAATCGCAGGAGCAATCATCAGGAAGGGGGGTGGGTGTTACCCACCCCTAAACACACTCTCACCGACACTATTATCAAGTTCATTCATGCTCATTCATATTCATAAATAAAAAAGATATACCTTTTTTTCTTGCTTATAAACCGGCTGATTTCTCATCATCAAAAAAAAATTTGTCAATCCAAGCAAAAACACACTTCGTGTTTTTCTTCTCGTTCTAGTGGTTCTGTCGTTCTTGACACAGTCTGTCGCCGCTGTTGTTGCCGCGCCGCCGTTGCTTGTATACGTGTTTTTTACGTCTTTTTTAAAATCTTTATCAACAATTTTTAAATATCTAGTAAGTCATTTTATTATTATTATATTATTATCATACAATTATACAATTATAGTAGTAAATATCAATCATAATAATCATAACAATAATAATAATAATAATAATAATAATAATAATAACTGTAAATAGTAAATATAATATTATATCGTCTGTTTGTTTTTGCTTTTCTTTGCTCTTTTCCTTTACCGCTACATGTTATTGGGCCTCTTCTTCGAATCTTAGTGATTGAATATATTTTTTACACTACTGTTCTAATTAAACAAATAACAAACACCAAGATATCCGTCTTTTCCACTTTCGATATATAACAAATTATTCCATTCTATTTATTGAAAGACGCAAAAGAAGCGTGACGTAACGTAACGAACGAAACGTTCTGCATTTGACTTAAGAAACGAACCAGCTCAAGAAACGAATAACTGACAACGAAAAGAAAAACTTGAACTTCTGTTCTTTGTTAACGACTTTGAGTTGTATTCCAGTCTGAATAATTCAAACAAACAAACAAAAAAAAAAAGCAAATACTCACGACTACCTAACAAGAAGTCCCACGAATTTTTTCTCACGAAATACCCAAAAAAAATTATTCTACAAAGAAACGGTAGAACGAAACGAACAAAAACTATTCTCTGAGAAACGAAATCATTAGGTTACAAAAAAATGCCTTATAACACAACTGATAATAGGTAAATTTACATTTATATATGGTTCAAAACATCAACGATTAATTGATTGATCTGTTTGGATTCTTATTTCTGATGATAACTTGTTATTTCATTTGTCCCACAGTAATCTTATGCTGCCTGTTGCGCCTCATATGCACGGTGGTTATAGCAATTTCCATACACATTTTAACTATGGATCTCATCCGTAAGTATTTCTCCCGTTGAGAAGTTTGATCAACTGCACTTTTCGATATCTCCAATTAAAACTATCTCTCCTTCTATTATCATTAAAGACCACCGCCGCCGGCTTTTAAAACTGATATTCATGATTCTCACTCTATAATGAATCAAAATCATTTAATGACTTCCTCATTACCATCGGTGGGCCCTGTGCAATCACAGACACTTAGTCCAATAACGTCATTGAATGGTGGAAATGGGAGTGATTATCATATGCCACATCACATGCAGGCACCTCAGCAGCATCATTCTTCCAATAATACATATCATCATTCACCACCGATGGAACATTCACAGCCTCCGCAAGAAGTACCTAACTACAATAGCTCATCACCAATAACGATGCCTTCTCCTCCATCAAGTATCACTCCTTGCTCCTCGTAAGTATTGTTCAAATGACGGTGAAGATTTGGGGTTTTTATGCGAGAGATAATGATCTGATCTATTTACGAACAATTAACTATTAGAAATCTAAGGTTCGATGCTTTACTTGAAGCACCTACTGCTGCCGCTCAACGTATTGATGAGACGCCAATGACCTATTTAAACAAAGGTGATTATTTCTTTTCGATAAACATTTAAGGTTATCAACGCATTCACGATTATGGTATTTATTAAAATGCTATGTATGACTTCTTTTAGGTCAATATTATGGCATTCTTCTACAAGATGTTGATAAAGTCGATGCCGACTTTACTACGATCGTCAAGATAATGTTTCACGATGATGCTCATCGTAAGATGGCATCAACGTATTGGAGCTTTTGGCTCACGCAGCAGGCATCACCGAAAACCGCAAGAGCTCTTGATATCGGTAAGATTTCTCCCTGACTTCCTCTATACGTGATAAGATATTTCTTTCGTTTATGGATTCGATTAAATATTTTGTAAAAACACCTATTGATGAACGTTTATAGACAAAGCTGCTTCAACTGGGATAAAGAATGTGGAGACAAAGACCTTCGACCGCGTTCAATTCCAATGGAATGGCAAAAAACAAGCAAAAATCTTTGTTCGTTTCAATTGCCTTTCAACCGATTTTTCGCGTATAAAAGGTGTTAAAGGTATCCCACTTCGCATTCATATTGAAACAAAATGTGAGAATGCCACAAACAGCCAAACCCTTGAAAAATCATTCGCAAAAATAAAACTTTTCAGAGACAAGGTAATTATATTTATTTGTATATCAGATGTTTCGTATGATTTATTGAGTCATGTGTCAAATTTAAAAAAAAAATTAATGTGTCTTTCCATAAAAGGGAGCAGAACGAAAGAACAAGGATGATCAAAAGCATCTCGATAAGATGTACGAAAAAATGCGGGGTAAGACCCAAGAAACGACCCCAATGATGATGATGTATGCACAACCAAACTCTGTAACTCTATTCAATGATATTACGGGAAACAATGACGCGTCAGATGATGAGGAAGTTCTCAACCTTTCAGAGAGTCTTAATAATTTGGATGCTGATGTCGACGGTGGTGAACTCATGAATTTGCATTTGGGTAAACGACGGAGATTATCCCTTGGTCCCGATTTCCTGGAACCACTTGACTGTGATCCTACTTATATCCCGATACGAAAAAGACGTGCAGGTAAATAAATATCATCTTGATTGTTCTTTTCTGATTGATGATTGATAGAATTACCATTGACATTAATATAATATTATTATAGTTCTTTGCATCTATGCTAAATTACCGGGAGAAGCAGTACATCGTGCAATTTACCTGAACCATCTTACTGTACAGGATCTTATATCAAAGATATCAGAAAAACTCGATATACAAAGTCAATCGGTCACTAATATCACGAGGTACACTAAACGAAATCTCGCGGTACGCGTTGACGACGAGTTAGTTCATCAGATTGAAGATGAACAAGATATGGAAATTGAATACCAAATGGCACAAGATGGAGGAATTCATTTGAGACTTACTTTTTAAGTGCATAATATGAAATGTTAAAGCAAAACAATTTAATAACCATCTTCGAACTACTTGTCATCTATTCCAGTAATTATCTTTTATTTCGATCACGTGTGCTATGAATGAAAATAATTCCTTCCTCTTCTTTTATTTTTATTATTTACTCTTTTAATCTGTGCTCCCATTTAAACATGAAAAGGAGACAGTACTAATAATAATGATAATAGTAATAATAATAATAATTGAAAATTAACCCACCATCTTTGCCTTATCTTTTTATTATTTTACCTATAGTATATATTATCATTAAATTATTATATCAATATTTATCATTAGTTTTGATTATTTATATTTATTATTTTTCTTCGTTGTACAAATTTCACCCTTTCAATATAAATCCCTTTGTTATATATCGCACTTTTTTAATTTGCATATTTTTATTGTTCATCATTCAAAAAACATTCAAACACATTTTTTCAATATTTCTCACATTTTTTTCATGTAAAACATTTTGTTTTTATCCCTGGGTTTTTTCATATGGGCATTGGTGGGTTTGGGTTATATGCACAACACACGCAAAAAATATAGGGTTTGGGGGTTTGCATGGAAGCTTCTTGGGTTATCATCATGGGGGGATTCGGTATACCTATACTAGTTTATAGTATGTATGTGTCTTTTAAGATTAATTATCAAGATTTTTTTGAAGTGAACAAGTTTAAAATTATGTAATTAGTAGTTCGTTAGCATTTATTTATGATTTTAATGACTTTAGGAGAATAGTTCGTAAATATTTATTTTATTATTTTATTATTATTCATTATTATTATTATTATTATCATTGATATTTATTATTATTTTATTATTATGAAATAGCAAGTCATGAGGCAGATGTTTATAAAAAAATCCGTAATTCGTGTTTTTACATTATTAATTTGAATGTAATGATTGTTAAGCGCGAGCAGATGTAAATATTTAATTTGAGCTGGTCTATTATTACAAAGACCGATCACTTGAATAAATTGTTTTATTTTTTTTTTCAAAAATCAAGTTCTAATGGTTGTCCATTAATGGAATTGTATACGAAAGGAACGCGCGTCTTAATCTGGTCAAAACCATTGATCAGCGTTATTGATTGAGGCTTTTTATTTGGGCTTGTTTTTTGTGTACGTGATTGATTCTTGAGTTTAATGTAAACTTGAAAACGATAAAAAATCAAAGCCTCGTCTTTTCTTTTCAGAATAGTAGCAAAAGTGGTATCTTTTTAAAGATGCACCTAAATTTAGAACCTGATTTTAAAAGATTAGTTTTTGGTAAAAGAATTCATCATGAATGAGGCTTCATTTAGTATACGTAAAATGAACAATCATCCATTTTAGAATACGATGCGAATATATATCGCAATTGTTGATGCTGTCAAACAATGAACAAAATCAAAACTAACTCATTTAGAACTTAATAAAGCAAAGAAATGCGCAACACAAAAAGTGTTAAACAAAGACAAATCCCTTCAGCATAATAATATAGCCAAAACAATAAACAATGAACTAAAGAATGATTTCATAATTGTGGAATTCGACTATTAGTTTCCGTCTTCTTTACAAAAACAGACATTTAGAAAGAGAGCCGAAAAGGAAAAATCGACGATAAGAAATTTCTCAAAAAAAAATTGAAAAGTAAATATTCTTTTCTTTCATTATTTTATGTGAGTTGAGACCGTGTATTTGGAGCAATCATGAAAACTTTTCTTTCATATCATATTCGCATAAAAAGAATTTCAAATTCCAGATGCTTGATCACACTTTATTAATTCATCATCAGGAATAACAGTATTAATGGATTTGCTTTCTGCTCTAAAATAACTAATATTAATGTATATTACTGGAGGATATGTATTTTTTCTTCGCGTTGAATAACCATCGAACATCACGTCTATTTTATTGTCTCCGGATAGGGTGGACAGAACTTCATAATCATTGTTCTATAAAATCACCGGTTATCAATTAAATAAGCTGCAATTAGATAATAAAACATTGGATTTATCCCTTTTTTTTTTTTTTTAAGGGAATAGTGAAAAAATCTCCTCAATTGGGGCCCTTTAGATGATGGGGTGATTTTGACTTCTCTATTTCAGGCAAACAAGTAATTTTTTTCCTTTGTTTACGTGTTTATGCTTTGTTGTTAAATGTGAGAAAGTTGAAAAAGATTAACGGTGCATGCAGGGAAAAAAAAGGAATATTATCTAAGTTGGGTGTGATGTATTAGTGAATCGCACATTATGCAGCGAAAGACATGAACTTTATTAATATAACGATAACATTGACAAGTAAAAAATAAGTACAATGAATAAGTTAAAGTTTCGTAATCAGTGCAATTAATTAGAAGCATAATTTCATATGATTCATGCTACAACTTCTTTCGATTGTTTCAGGTCTTTCAACGGTACACCGTCAAAAATAGATGATCGAAAATTTTTTGCTAGTTCAAACCCATTTTTATAATGTTCGTAATCATAAAAGGTTTGAAGCATTTCTTGTTCAGTATTCATCACAAATGGACCATGATGTACGATTGGTTCCTTTTTCGAAAGATTGAAAGATTGATTCGATTAAATTTAGAATGTTACATGATCTGATAACAAAGATAAAAATTACCTCTAATGGCTTTCCAGCAAACAACATAAATCTCACGCTCTCATCACCCGTTTCTGCTGAGAAATACTCTCCTTGATTTTCTTCATCCAAAAACAATGCATGATTTGCCTTGCCCAGGAATCTATCAGCGCCAAAGAATCCACTTCCTTCAATCACACACACAAAACCATTCCACCCCTTTGGTACAGGTTGTTCTACTTTTTTATTCGCTGCCAATGAGAAATCCATGATCATTGTCGGTGTACGTGTAAATACCGATGATTTTATTCCATGGCTTTCTCCAGCGATTACTTTTATTGTGATTCCTTCTTCGGGAGTTGCGCGTGGAATGCTGTCATTTGATAATTCTTGGTATGCTGGTTCACACATCTTTTCTGTGCTTGCTAAATTTACCCATATTTGTAATGCAGATGCTGACGGTGCTGGCATCTCTGCGTGAACTATACCTCTGCCTGCCGTCATCCACTGTATGTCACTTTAGAAAAAGGGGTTTAGAAACATTTTCATCATGCAAAAGATATATATGTTAATAAACTTACCCTGCTTCAATAATGCCCTTATGTCCAGCGAAATCTTCATGTGCAATTGCACCTAAATAAAAAATCATGAGTTTATACCTGAGAAAAATCTCAGTAGCACTTAAAATACCTTCTAATATATATGTAACGGTTTCGAATCCTCGGTGTGGATGATCCGGAAATCCAGCTGGTTGGGAAACAGTGGCGAAATCGCACATTAAGAATGGGTCCAAATAATTTTTTGACCCACCTATGCATCGGCGTACCACTGCACCTACGCCTTCCGGTTCATTCTATAGAAATGCAATTTTGCGTTAATGATAACAGAAGTTGAATTAATCCTAATGAGGATTTTATTGGCCAATTATACAACCTTTGGCAAAAACGATTTTGTAATTTTACGTGCAATTCTAGTAACAGAATTCATCTTTATCGAATTAATTGAGTTTAAAAATATGTAAATTATTTTTTTCAATAAACTAATGAAGCATTCATTTATATATCCAACGAAATCTACCCAACGAACATTGATTTGTAAGTGTATGACCATTAATTTGTAATCTGCGTCAGTTTCGGATATTTTGCAAGCCGATTTAGGTGCAGAATCATGTGATTCCAACCCACTTTACAAGGGTGGGCACAAATCAATTATTATCGTTATATAAAAAGGGTAAAACTGGTACGTGTCAAAGACTAACGAATACATAGGCACTATGGATATAATGAACCGTTCCTTAGATCGAAATTAACGACTTCATTACGTTTCAGAAAATAATAACGCGATTTCATTATATTATATCGATAGTGTATAAAGGTCTTTTGCACGTGAGATTTCGTGCACAACAAATGATATGACGAAAAATGTTCGGACAACGTGATCCGCCAACCATTAAAGCGTAGTCCATCATGTGATCCATCTCCAATAGGGGTGCGCAAATTTTTTGATCAACCCGGCAAAACAAATCCGACACAAGATATGAAAAATGAATATTACAATGCCTAAATCTGTCTTGGAATATTAATGCTGACATATCACAATTTCCTCATCGCGCCAATGTATTAATTTAGTTTTGCAAGGAATTAACAGTTTCTTACCATAAAATTAATAGTTTTAACTAGTTTTAGAACTTATTATGAGCAAACAAAAGGGGAATGAATTATTTTTCCCTGCCCGCTTTAAAACTAATTAAAATTGTCGGGACTGCAATTTTACGTATAATATTGTTCTAACCGTTACCCTTACCCAGACCTGAAAATTTAAGGGGATTGATCACATGATGGACTACGCTTTAGCCGTTCTCCAACCACGTACGATCTATTTCCCAGATTTTCTATTGATTACAGTGGAATTTTCCGATTTTCCGGGATCGACAAAACCTGGGATTATGCATAAAATTTTGTTTTGATTGGTCGATTAATTTTAAGGAGATTTCGGAACCGATCGTTTTTTCTCTTGTTTCGACACCCATATCTCAGTCCCTATCACGTGTAAAAAGAAGCTTCCGATCTGTCTTCGATCCGACAACACAGTTATCATTTTTATAATTCTAACCAAGCTGCTAAGAGATATTGAACTTCAATAATAGTTCTCTATTTTTTGTTACTGGCAAAAAAAAATTAAAAATACATGAAAATTAATTATATTAAATAAAAAAATTGAATAACTTTACGATGACCAAAAGTAATGACTCAGGGGCTAAATTTATTAGTGAAAATTGAATTTTCTCTATATTAAAATTTATAATTTTATTAAGAAATAATTTTTATTTTTATATTAAAATAAAGTTTATCAGTTATAGTTTAACATATATTTTTTTCAGATTTTTTAGATTTTTTCTGAAAGAGTTGCTCTAATTATAAAATTAGTGCAAAAATTTTTATTAATTAAATTTCATTTTTAATTAGTAAAAATTTTTGCATTAACTTTACAATTAGAACAACTCTTTCAGAAAAAATCTAAAAAATCTGAAAAAAATATATGTTAAAACTATAACTGATAAACTTTTATTTTAATATAAAAATAAAAATTATTTCTAATAAAATTATAAATTTTAATATAAAGAGAAAATTTCAATTTTACTATGTTTTATTAATAAATTTAGCTTCTGATTTGGTCACCACTGTATATATTCTTGAGATTATAAATTATTATAATATTAAAAAATAACTGATAATTATTATATAAAATTTGAAATATATATTTTAATATAAAATAATTCATGATCTTAAGAATATATATTTTCTATTCAATTTTTTTATTTTTTTAGCCGGATAATGATCGTCAGGGATCGGATTTTCCGGCAGCGGGGGAAGTAGCTGTTGGAGCAAAGATCGGAAGCTCCTTTTTGCACGCGAAGGGAAAATTTTTTGGATTTATATGACCGACACCTTCTTGCCGTGGCTAGGGTTTTTTAGTTGAACCAGGGATTCGGTTTCATATAAAATCGCGTCTTAATAAAAGTCGATTTTGATTGGTTGGAGCGCGTGATGTCAATATCCCACCAAAACAAACAAGAAGTTCTTGCAACAAACTTTATCCCTATTCCCTCGGCCGTTATTATCGAATATTGTAGATTAAATCGGTAAGGTCATTCTTCTTTCGACTTTCTTAATTCTAGGTTTGCTTCAAGTTTTCTAAAAATGTTATTAAACTGACACATTTTAAGACACTGGAAGATTTAGCGCATTTACATTCTAAGAGAGCATTCGTAGAGATATCAAGAGCGAAACTTTCTACTAGCATTGGACGGAGATATTAAACTGTAAAAAAAGCTCAATAAAAGACTATGAATGAATACGCCCTGACACCGAAAAAAAATATAACTAGCCCTCCAACTAAAGTTATCACAAGCTCTCCTCGCACACCAACCAATAGGCAACGACAGCGTGCTGTTAATGTGTCATCGGTCGGCCGACCATCATCATCACCTTCAAACACACCTCGGTGTAAAGGTGTCTCCCTTACCACTGGATTGGCATGTAAGCGTCCGGTAGCATCTAATAGTTATTGCTATCAACATCGAGGACAACTGCATGCAGAAAGTATATTCGGGATCCCAAAACCACGTCATAACAATTTTTTCGAACGTATCACAATCACGGACAACATACGTGATGTCGTGGATGACGATGACGATGATGATGATAACGATGAAGATGATGAAGATGATGAGGATAGAACAGTTGTAAATTTGGTTAAAAATTATCATTATGAAAATGTTTTTGTTTCCTCTTTAAATGAAGATGACGAGATAAGTGATTTGTTATGCAGTATTAATGGGTTGTCAATCACAGAAACTGAAAAAAGACCAAAGACCTCACCGCTTATTAGTTTAGAACCAATATTTAAATCCATAGCTCCGAATTCGATACAAACGCCTCCGCCAACATCAGATGTGTTAAAACAAATCAAAACACCACAAAGATCTTTACATCCTCGAATTCATTTGGATGCTTCATTAAATGAAAAATCTTCCGCGCATATAAGATCCAAAAGCGAAACATCAAGCCCCATCAACTATCCGCAACACGATGCTAGTATTCATAATAATTTAAATAGTCCTAACGACGAGGCTTCATTTCGACAATCACCCGGTTCAGATCGGTGTCAAGGACGGAGTACGAGAACGGGAAAACAATGTTCACGTTCAGTAAAAGTGAACAAGGATGTGAACAATATCAAACAATGGTATTGTCATCAACATAAAGTTGTGGTCGAGAAAAATCATCCGCCAATTGAATCCCCGGCATTTGTCCCAGGCCAAACTAAACTTGTTTGGTTGAGATGGTCAGGTAATTAATTAAATATTTATCAATATCCAAGATCAATAATTAATAATTGTTATAATTTATTACACAGACTGGATTGACCCTAACCTCAAAGAAGAAACGAAAAAGCTACTATTAGAAGAAACTTCTAAACCTATATCATCCAAAGACGAACCAGGTTATATTTATGCGTACGAATTGATCGATGGTAAGAATTTTATTTTTATGATGAGATTTTCGCACCTGCTATCATTCTATTTATTAATAATAAAAATAGGTCCACTATCAAAGGCTCGACTATATAAAGTGGGTCGAGCTAATAATGTGCACCGGAGAGTGTACCAATGGAACCGGCAATGTGGATATGAGCCATCCGTAATTGAGTATTTTCCAAGTATTAACGAAAATGAAAATACTCTCAGTCAATTAATCACCGAGCCGATGAGGAAATGCAAATATACTCATCGCGCAGAAAGATTAATTCACATCGAATTAGGTGACAAATATCATACAATTCTACCAAAATGTCCGGGGTGTGGCAATAGTCATCGTGAATTTTTTAAAGTTCCTATTTCGAATTCGGACGGATGGGATGAAATTCGTCGTGTCATTGTTCATTGGATAACTTATATTGAGCAAATTTATGGTACCGGATAAATATGCACATTTCGAAAGTCTACCGTTACTGTTTATTAATTTATTTATATATATATTTGTAAATATTCTAAGTTTTACAATAGAAAATTTTTTGATTTTATTTAAATGATGAACGCGATCGATTTGTTCTCACGTGAACGATATAATCATTTTTTGTATAACCTTATACTTTCACCCGGTGCATAATCTCTTCATATATGCATATATATGTATATATAATTAATCAAGGGGCAAAGCAAGATAACGCACTCAACAACCGAGAATGAATAAACATCTATACAAATTAATACTTTGATCCGAACGCCCAGTATCAGACACAGAGATCAAAATTTGATCAAAGAGAGTTTATATTATTTTTGATATATATTCACGAATGTTTCGCGCGCTTCTAATTGATCACATAATATAGGAAAGAATGCATGTGAAAATATTAGCTGTCCCATCAAAATTAAAAAATTTTATGTATTCTTTGAAGGCTTTTTGCGTGCAGCTCTTAATGTGTGTCATTATAATTGCCTGCCGTAGTTTGGCAAATATAATAAACCGGAATAAACAAGCTTGCTTGAGTGGCAATTAATTAATTAATATACATGTAAAGCGTAAAATGTCATATTCGAATTGACAAACGAAAAAGTAAAAATTTTGGTTTCAATTAAAAAGTTGAATCGGAAAATAAAGAGGTCTTCTTTTAACGAATTACTAATGTAATATATTAAAAGAATAAACTAGCAACGAGAACATAATGGTAAGGAGGCAATCAGTCAATTTTGAATAGAAGTTAAATTTGATTGATTTAATCATTTGATTAACAAATAAACTTATTAAACTTAAGTAAATGCAAATTTCATCATAATAGCCGAATATATCCTATGTATTAACGTCTAAAAGTGAATCAATAATTTACTAATATATATAATATATAGTATTAATATAGTTATATGTACCTTAAATATCTTGCAAGTATGCTGGCTATATAAACTAACATTAGCGTGTTGTTCGAATTCCCTAATTCGGACTTACTCTTATATTCTTGCGTTCATAAAGGTTTTTCTAGATAGAGTATGAGATGCAGAAATATACATGAACTTAGAAATTAATCACATGAATAAAACAAGATTGCGGCAATTGATACCATATTTAGCAAACATTCAAATGATAGGTGAATGCAATAATCGTTACGCCACCTCCCGAACAGTTACAAACCGTATTCAAGTCTTAAGATTCATTTATATATAATATATGTTTAATTCTAATACCGATTACATCTTATCGAGTTGAAAGAAGTCGCCTTTTTTTGCCAAATTCATCCTGCAGATCTTCAACTGCTTCGTTCATATTTGTATCGGAATTGTAATAGTTGAAAGTTTGTTTTGAATCTATTGTCCTCTTGTCCGACATATCAGGGTTTGAGTTTAATTCGTTTGGCAGATTTTTGGTGGTTTTTCTTTTACGATCTTTAGGTCGAATTGCAATTTTGATCCCTTGCTTTTGAAAAGCAATAGATAAATCAGTCGAACCTACGTCAAGTTCAGATAAATAATAGATAAATAATAAATTTATACAAATAAAGAACAGGTTTGAGGATCAGTAGTATATACCGGTCATTCCCGGAAATTTTTTGGCACTGAAAACTTGAAATGGATCCGAAAAAACTTCCGCATCAACTGGCGATGATGTGCTACCAGGGCAAGTGCTGACAATGAAGAAAGGGGTATTCATTAATTTCCGAAGAGATAACAAACAATGAATCAAAAAAGGGAAAATCAACAAGCCAAAAAAAGTATCAAACATATTAATTTTTAATTAATTGTATATAAAGCGATGATCAACTTTAATTATGAATTCGTCTTACCCGAATAATATATTCGATATGTTTGTTAATGAAAATTGAAGCGTAAAGGCTCCTTCTGTTCTGACTGATAAATCATGGAATATAAAGTAAATTCCTTGCTTTCCTTCATGATTTTTTAACATGTACGCCGAAGAAACGGTAGATCCCATCAAATTGCGAGTTGAAGTAGGCGCATTTAATGAGATAACTGTTGATCTGCCACCGTTTGAACTAGGTAAAGAGGAAGGATTTATAACTAAGGATCTTTCCTCCTTTTTTTTATGACACCAGAGATTCGCATGCACCACAAATCCAGATGGATCCACCGAGCTGTTAAATTCAATAATATTTGAAATCAGTAACATTTTATAATTTTCAGAGAAACTTGACGAATTATTTCTTCAAAACCTTTCTGGAACTGGTGCACCGTCTTGATAAGTCATTAAAAGCTCCACCACGGGTGGAGGATCAATTGGTCTTCGATCTTTTTCTCCAAACCCGCACATTCGTGCACGAATAGGATGCTGCGTTACGATTAAGCTATAACTATTGTTTTTATAAAGATAATGTAAAAACAACAAATTATTAATTGCAACTTTAATTGAATGAATTTATCAAAGTTTATTAACTCTTTATGCCTTCCTTCATATGTCTCTTATATAATTGTGGACGATAACGCCTTGAGATTTTACAATAAGGAGATTTGTTACATAACAATAATGAAAGAAAAATTACAAAAATCGAATTTGATAAATTAAAAATACTGAGACCTGATTTGGTGCTAGGAATCCATAATAAAAACTATTAAAATAAATAAAAATAGAAAATATATACCGTATTTCTTGGCCGGGCGGCTTTTCTAGCTTTTCCAAATTGGAAAATCTCGAACTCATGGTGACATGACCAATAATTGGGAATTTGGAAAAAGCAAAGGACTGCAAGCTCCCTATTGAAATTTATTTATTATATGGTTCATAATCCCAGAATGTAAAGAAAATGAGTTCTCGTTCTTCATTATTCGCGTGTGAATTTTATTATTTGAAATGGCAGAAAAAAACAAAAAACTAAATAACAGAGATTTCGGCTATAGGTAAGGTTAAGTCATTATTAAAGAATTCCTGCTTGCCTTTGAAGATTCCAACAACCGATCAAAAAGGACCAGTAAAACCAGATTGAATCCTGTAGGTTTTTGAAGAGACAGCATCTTTTTATTATTTCTCAAAAAGAACGCTTATATATTATTATATTAAATATATAATATATATAAAAAAATTTTTACCGGGTGACAATCTTATTCAATTGCGAATCAGAACCGGGAAACAGTTAATAAGATACACGTTGGCACAAACGCCTATCTAATATTATTATTTATTTAAAGAGACTTTAATTCTTACTGTAATATTAAATAGCGGATTACATGAAATGCTTGAGAATAGAAAAGAAAAAGCAGCAAAAATCCAATGAGTTGTAACATTTTTCGGTATAAATCTTAGTTTGGTTGGCAAAATAAATTGTTTTCATCACCAGGTAATTAATACGCGTGAAAAAAGTGAGAGTGAGAATTTAGAAAATTCAAGAATCAGCTTGTAATTAAAGATTTTGTTCCAATCTTTCGAAGAAATGTCACACCTCGTATGTATCAAACAAAAATAACGCACTCCAATTTTTATTGATGCCCGCTGTTGTTGTTTTGTCATTTGGCAATTACACAAAAATAGACAACAAACAACTAGGAGCCAGGCGATACTTTGGTATATCTATTACTTTTTGCATGCAGAATGAGAATATATTGTTTTAGCCCGTCGTTGCTCTGCATCAGAAAACAAACAAGTAAAAGAACATCAAATGCGGAAATATTTTTTACGCCACAATTCTTTTCAGAGCTCCACTATCGAATGTAAAAAGTCTCTTTCATTCTCTCGCGCTGCAAAGACGATGTTTAGAAGAGCAAAGCTTGAAAAACGCGTGGATAATTTTAATATATGCAAGTTAAATTAATTTTCTCTTACTCTTGTAACCCCCTTGACAATTTATAATTTCGAATCCAGACAAATTAGATATTTGAACGAGATAAATATAGTCTAAAAATAGCATAAATATTGACACCGAAACAATGGGAAACAATAGCTTCGCACTTCCAGTATTTTTTGTTTTGCGAGAAAAATTATGTCAATCATAATATGCATGTAAAGGTTGTGTGTATATAAAGGCTGGGTACCGAATAAATTAATTTACGACACTGAATATTTTCATAATGAGAAAATACACCGGGGTCAATTCACCTGAAACAGTAAATTATAATTGACAAAAATATTTAAAAATCAATTCTGCAATTCCTCGTGACTTAAATTAACTGGGCTGCAAATTTTCAGAGACCCGGAAATTTTTATTGCTGCAAGAATAAAAACAGGAAGTTCCCTGACTACCGAATATTTAATCGTGCTAATGAAGTATAACAAAGAAATTGACGTGAAGTTCGATTTTCATGCAGCAGCACTATAAAAGCTATTTATATTATTCTTTTTACACGAAAATAACGCGTATTTCTTATTAATACATCCAACTGCTTACTGCGTTATTAAACCGGGCATGTTGGGCTGAACCTTTTTGTCCGGGATCCGGTTCTGTCCGACTTATAGCGAATGTCCGTTTTAAACGGGAGCGATTTTTTAATACCAATTTTTTTATATTTTTGATTTGAAGGTATACTAAAAACAGGTCATAAAAAAAAAGATGCGAAACAAAAATTTACTAATATGCTGAGAAACATCAATTCACATCAAAATTGAATAATTTTCGAACCATTGTATTTAATTTTAAATTAAATTACAAAAATTTATATTGTTTCTAATTTACATAATCTTTCATTCTAATTATAATTACCGGCATCATTATTATACGCATTCACACATGCAAGTTAGTATTGCATTTTACAATTTCGCACATTATCAAATGTTTTTTATTCCAATCTGCGACGTGCAAAGATGTGGGAGTCGAGAGATGCAAAAACGCGATAATACTCGCGATTTAAATAAGATAATTCCTGTTTGATCCCTGTACTTATTAACATTAAATACCCGGAATTTGTTTAGTCATTAATACGGTTTCATGCATAAAAAGCTAACCATATCGTGCATGTCATTATTTGTTTGCTTTTAGGGCCATGATGATCTCTGTGTTCCCAACCATAAATTTGGTATATTCTCAATAGTCTTGTTATTACTCGGGCGTGATAGTATTTAGTCTTCTCTGTTTCGCCTTTAACAAAGAGAACAATCATGCCAAATTTTTTTTAGAATTTCATGCACGCCAGAATTCAACCCGAGCATGAAAATTCCTGTTTTAAATTTAAGTTATTATTGTTAAACTATGGAAATTATGTAGCCTATTGCATTAATAAACATAAACTTTTGGCTTTTTTTTACAATTTTGCATTAATGAACCACGTATGAGACTTGATTGATGTTAAAGAACGCCGAAAAATCTTTATGAATGGATCTATTCTATTGTCTTATTCTGCATTGTTTTAAGTCCGATTAAAATTCAATTGGTCAAGCTGCGCATAAACTTTAGAAGGCAGACAAAAAGCTTACGTGATTATTAAACATGCAAAAGATAACTTGCGAGTTAACAATGATCTCAGACTCATCGTCATTTTTTTTTGGATTTTAATGAAAAAACATCGAACATATATGGAAGAAAAAGAACAAAGAATCTTTATATCGCCTCTAATAATCCCTATGATAAAGAAAGCTTCTTATATTATATTATATTTAGCAATGTTTCTTCATCACATAATGTGCAAGTATGTTGACGATTAATGTTAAACAATCTTATGTTAAAAACTTATTGTTTTTCATCTTTATTGTTACTTAATCTCGCATGCACAAAAAAGAGTTTATTATTATGCATTATCAATTATCAAATAATATTAAAAAAAAATTTTTTTGAGAATTTTTTAACGCTTATATAATTGATGTAACATGTGTCTTAGTATTTATCTCGCAGGTGTGATCATATATATGGTATGTTAATTTATTATATAGAGAATGCTTGTCTTGTAATTCAGTCAGCAAATTTATTAAAATACATTTGCTATTTATCCCCTTTGTCTTTTAAAGCGATGCGTCGAAAACTTTCTTTGATCTGAAAAATTTTACTGTAATGCTAATTAAGCTTAAAGATTGTTCTTAAGAGTTAGAATTGAGTTAGGATTATATACAATTGCCATTCCATCGTTTTATACTCGTGCATTATGCTAGATAATGTATCTGCCTTCACCTTTTTTCATTTTTCAGATTTTATTTTGATCATTCTAATCATGTGATTAGGTTATTTCATTCGAATAAACAAGCTTTCTTTATATGTTGGCCATATAAATTTTTAAATGCTTGGCAAAAATTACTTATGCCTTAATATAAATCTTGGTCTGTCAGCATTTCAGTGGCGTATGCCACTACTACCCCCTGAAAAATTGTAAATAAGGTGTCGGATCATGTGATTTTTTAAAGGATAAACCAATCAAATCGCAAGACCAATGTGTAACGGAAAAATTAAATAGCGAAATTTTTTTAAAAAAATGCTCCGGATATTAGTTATTCCACATCATGTGTCTCGGTGCAAACAATTTTTCGGGTGTATGACAAGAAAATGAAAAAGCGAAAAAAAGGCGTCAAAATCTAATAGTTTGGAACACTGATAAAAATGTTGAGAAGGCAACTTTACATATTAGTCTTACAAATAGACAGCATCTAGTTCATCCTAACTCTAATGCAATGTTGTACATTTTTGACGTCCAAGCCATATTTTTGCTTGTCCAAGGCAAAGCTGTTCAAACTCTTGTATATTTTAAAAAATTATATAAAAACTATCTGATTATATACAACGTTAAATTCTAAAAATTTTTATTTAGATTGTTCGAACAATAAAACTTTAAGATATTGCTATTTAAAAAGATAATCCTTAGCGTATCTGATTAGTGTCCTCTTTTTTTAGAAAGTTTAGAAGTCTACTAAAAGTTCGAGCCACATGACGTTTGTCATGGTTAGTCAAAGTTAAGAATATGTTACAATAATAAACGCATAGTAAATTTCGCAAGAATTTTTGTTAGAACACAGGCAAAATTTCAAAAATAAACGTTACATTTTGATTTAAAAATCACGATACTCACATCACGTGGCACGAACTTTTCATAATTTATGGGCTGGATTTCAACACATTACAGCGGATTTGCGTCATTGAAACTCATCCTTATCTTTTATTGGCTAAAATAGATGATCAATTACTATATATACTATATATGTGCTACATTTAGATAAAATAATTATTACATGTGAATGATATGACGTAATAAGAAATACTAATATAAACAATTGAAAGTAAAGAGGATTCGATATGGCTCAAATAACCAAAGAAAACAAAACCGCTGAAGAAAAATTTAAAGAGCGTAAACATTTCTCTTTAGTAAGGTATGCAGAATAAATTTTAATTTAAAATATCCCATTATTTAATTCTTTTTATGATTACATTTAATCCAATTTTTTTTTATTCTAGAAATTTTCACTTGGCCGATTTTATCACATTAGGCAATGGAGCGTGCGGGTCCCTATCCATATTTTCAAACATGCAATATTTAATAACACATGATGAAACATGGTTATGGTGGAGCATGTATTTTTTACCAATAGGAACACTTTTTGATGTTCTAGATGGGAGGGTTGCTAGATGGCGAAAGAATGCCAGCTTATTAGGTCAAGAATTAGATTCTTTGGCAGATCTGGTGAGTGTTAGTTGTGGTATTCTTTAATCCACGAAAATCAATAATTGATGATAAATAATTTTTGAGATATCTTTTGGAGTTGCGCCGGCTGTTTGTGCATTTGCAGTTGGGATGAGGACATTTGTCGATACGATTGTATTGGCAATCTTTATTTCATGCGGTATTGCTCGTCTAGCACGATATAATGCAACAGTAGCATCAATACCAAAAGACGCTTCAGGAAAGATTAATTATTTTGAAGGGACTCCAATTCCGACTAGCTTGTTCTTGGTGGCCACGATTGCGTATCTAACGAAAATAGGAAAGATTAATGAAAAACTTCCGGGAGGAACGATGGAATTGTTTCATGGGTTAAATTTTCATCCATTTGTGTTAATTTATGCACTTTCCGGAACAGCGATGGTATCAAAAACTTTAAGGATTCCAAAGTTTTAGTTCTTTTTATGTATGTTTTTTTGAATTTTGATATCAGCAGCTAAAATGCTTGATCAAAGAAGAAATGTTGTAACTGAAAAACTTGGAAAATACAAATCGAATTTCAAAATAGATCCTTCTATTTAATCTCTTTATTAATAGAATCCAATCATAATAAGATCTCATCGAAACTTTTGATGTGAGTTGAGTGTGTTTCTTATAATCGTGAAACATTTGCGGGTTCGAAACTGTGCCACTATTTAGATATCACCAAAAAAATTCTACGTTCACGTGATTATAAGGTGGCTTGACCAAATCAAATCGCAGGATCAATGTGTAACGAAAATCTTCATCAAAACTTGAACATGATTTATTTATAGAACAAACTCGCTTGAAAAAATATAAAAGAATTCTAATTTTAGTTTTTATATAAAAATATTTATTAATAAAGTTATAAGTTTTAAATAATAAAATAGTTTTGTATTATTATATTTTATTAATAAAATTATATTACTATTATATAATAAATATAAGTTTAAAAATCAAGATAAACTTACAGATTTAAAGATCTATAAATAATTTAAAAGATAAAAATTAATAAATTTAAGAAATTAACTAATATCTTTAATATATTTTTATATTTTTAATATATTTTATATTTAATTTTAATTTATTTAACTAATAAAAATTATTATTTTATATTATTTATATTTTATAATTATAATTATTTATTCAGCTAATAAAAGTAATTATAATATTATTTATTATAAACTTATTATATATTTTATTAATATTAATTAAAAATAATAAAGAATTATATTATTATTATTATATATTTTTTTAATAAATTCACAAATATTATTATTAATTTTTTCTTATTTTTATCTTAAAAATATTTTCATTTATAAAGATTATTTAGTTTAACTCTTATAATTACTAATATTATTCTTATAATATTTTTTATTAATTAAATATTATATTTAATTTATTGATTTATCTATTCAATTAAAAATAATAATAATTTTTTAATATTTTTTATATAAAATATAAAATTATTAAAACTAATATTACCATAGTAACATAATTTCTTTAATTTCATACTTTTTCAAACTTGGAAAAATGTGACCAATCAATTGATCTTTGGATAACATGTGATCTTGAATAATATAATTGGTGTATCAGTTATGGATTCAATCACAATTCAACAACGTTT